AAATAAATAAACGTTGAAAAAAAAAAATTAAAAAAAAATATCATTCCTATCATTTGCATTTTAGAAAATATGTGTATGTAAACTTTTAATAAAGATATTTTTTGAAAACAAAAATAATCTAGAGACAGTGATAGGCCTGTCATCATTAAAGTATATTTAAAAATATTAAGCAAACTAGGGGCACCTGGGTGGGCCCAGTTGGTTAAGCATCCAACTTTGGCTCAGGTCATGATCTCTCAGTTCACGAGTTTGAGCCCTACGTTGGGCTCTGTTGCTGACAGCTCAGAGCCTGGAACCCTCTCTCTCTGCCCCTCCCTTGCTCTCTCTCTCTCTGTCACTCTGTCTCTCTGAAAAATAAATAAACATTAAAAAAATAAAAATATTAAGCAAACTGATTTCTTTTTTTTATGTTTATGTATTTATTTTGAGAGAGGGAGCGAGTGAAGGTGCTCTGTCAGTGTGAAACCTGATATGGGGCTCGAACTCACAAACTGTGAGATCATGACCTGAGCCTAAATCAAGAGTCAGACTTCAACTGACTGAGCCACTCAGGCACCCCATAAGCAAACTGATTTCTTAAACCTATTGCTTTTAATTTATGTTTTCTGAGGATATACTATATATTACCTTTAGTAAATAGTTTCTAAATTACCAGTGAAAGAACTCCTGTTTCTCTTTGGGATTTGCATAATAAATATTTAATATGATATAACACTTGTGCTTTTAAAAATTCACAACTTGTTTTTCAGGACAGTCTTACAATATATGTAGGCTTTTTCTTAAAAACTTTCAGAAACATTGCTAACAGTTTTAAATGACAGCTATTGAATGAATAGGAATTTTCTTTCCTAAAAAGCTAAGGAAGTAAAAAAAAGCAAAATGTATATTTAGAAAAATTTAAAAATAAATTTTCTTTTCAACATCAGGGAAGTATTTATTCGACTGCAACATGAAAATAAGATGCTTCGCTTGCAACAGGAAGGTACTGAGAATGAACGTATTGAGGAACTCCAGGAACAGCTAGAACAGAAGCACCGCAAGATGAATGAACTGGAAACCGAGCAAAGGTGACCCACTCTTTTGTAATTGTCACAGTGATTCCATTAGGTAGCCACCAAATCTTGACTCACAGAAGAGGGAGATAACATCGTAATTGAAATAGTTAGGAGTTTAGTCTCTCACTCCCATTGCTTCTAGCACACTTTAGTAACCAGGTTTCTCATTCTTGAATTTCACTTATATGTCTTCATAATTCTCAGAAAATTTAACAAATGAGTAAATGACAATCTGGGTTTCGACTGCAGTCAGTGCTTGGATGGAACATAGACTGTGGAGTCAAATTTGAGTGCTACCTCTATTTAAACCTATTAACAGTTTTGTTCTGGGCAAGTCTCTTAAATTCACACTTAATGTCCTCAGCTATAACTGGAGGTGATACCTATTTGCAGGTTGTTATGAAGATTCACAGATAACGTATTTAAAGCAAATGACGTACTTATCTGATACTGAGGAGGGGCTTAAAAATTATAATATTAAAAATATAGGGGCGCCTGGGTGGCGCAGTCGGTTAAGCATCCGACTTCAGCCAGGTCGTGATCTCGCGGTCCGTGAGTTTGAGCCCCGCGTCAGGCTCTGGGCTGATGGCTCAGAGCCTGGAGCCTGTTTCCAATTCTGTGTCTCCCTCTCTCTCTGCCCCTCCCCCGTTCATGCTCTGTCTCTCTCTGTCCCAAAAATAAATAAACGTTGAAAAAAAAAAAAAAAGTATTTACTAAAGGTAATATATAGTATTACCTTCTAAGCACTTGTTTGGTATTAACTCAAAAAACCTCACAGTAACTCTGTGAAATAGGGACTGTAATTATCTCTTTTATGGATAAGGAAGCTGAGGTTCAAGGAGGTTAAGTAACTTATCCAAAGTTATAAGCTAGCTAGTAAGTTCTCGACTGCACATTTGAACTTTCTGTCATTCTGACTCCTGAGTCTGGACTCTTAAACACTATGCTAACTTGCCTCTTATATATGGCATATTTTTCAGTAAAAGTATGTGGTTTTATTTGACCAACCTTTATTGGATCTTAGAGACCAGGAATTTTAGATACACTTGAACCTGGTTTCTCAAACTTGTATATATAGTATTACATCAACTGTGGTTGAAAAAAGAATAACATTTTAGCTTTGTGAAGGGACCATCAAATATTACTATCCTCTGCAATTCAATATCAGCACTGGAGATAGAAAGTTTCAGCTTTTAGAAAGTTAAAACAGGAAGATAGACATATGAATAGATAATTACATTATCTGATAACTGGAACAATGGGGCATTATAACGGGCAGGTGTGTTGGGTCATATATACATGAAAAGAGAGACAGATTCTCTTTCTTGCTGGAAACCTCAGTAGAGGCAATTCTCAAGCAGGGTTTTAAAGAATGAGGTTTTGCCAAGTTAAAAATCTGCATTAGTTGCTAGTGTTAGTCTCTTTAATTTAAACAAAAAATTATGAAGAGATGGTTGGAAAACGGTGACCTTTGTCAGTACACTATGAAATCTGAAACAAAAAGAAACCTAGTTCCCATTCATTAAAAGTACACCTGTAAGGGGGCACCTGGGTGGCCCAGTCAGTTGACCATCCGACATCAGCTCAAGTCATGATTTCATGGTTCCTGTGTTCAAGCCCTGCATCGGGCTCTGTGCTGATGGTTCAGAGCCTGGAGCCTGCTTTGGATTCTGTGTCTCCCTCTCTCTCTTTGCTGTTCCTTTGATAGTTCTCTGTCTCTCTTTCTCTCTGTCACTCAAAAATAAACATTAAAAAAATTAAAAAAAATACAACTGTAGGAAAACTGAGCTAGTTTTCTAATTTCTTTTACCAGTGAGTACTGTGCAGAAATGATATGCTTTTGCAACTGGCACTTAAGTATCTTGAATTTTTACATGTGGGTGTATATACTTCCTGGATAAATGTCTTCTTTTTAAAAAATATTTCTTTGCAAGTAGCCTACTATATTATATAATAAACCTAGCCACAGATAATTGTTCAGCCTTCATTATTACTATTAAATGCACCAGTTGCACAAATGCACCTTTATAGATCCTTAACTACTTTGACTTTCCATACAAATAAATGTGTATGATCCATCTTACAATAGGCTGAGCAAAGAGCGCATCCGAGAATTGCAGCAGCAGATTGAGGACCTCCAGAAATCTTTACAGGAACAAGGCTCCAAGTCTGAAGGAGAAAGTGTAAGTAACTTGAAAGCTGTAATAATTCTGCTGCGTGTGGACTCTCTGCGAGAGGTCCTAACGCCCAAATTCTTCTTGTGTTTGAAAGTGCCATGCCACCCTTATCAATGAGGGTACCCTTGAATACCGTATATATCTGCATAACGGATGCTGTGATTTTGCCACTTTGGAGCCTATAAATTAATCGTTATGTATTGAAGGTGATTTCTATCTGTCCTACTTCAACAGCTACACCTAACTTCATGGTTGCTGGTGTGCTGCCGGTGAGGTCTTCAATGGCTCTGCTGGGACACCAACAGGGTGGGCCTCAGAAAAGTCCTGGTTGAGAGTGCTCAGTGGTCAGAATTGAGGAAGACTTCTAACAGGAAAAGGGAGAGGGAGAAAATGATCTCTACCAAAGAGCCTTATAGGAGTGGATCATACTAACCTCCAAAGGACAGAAACCGTAATGCAGTTTCGAAAGCATCACCTCGTATTTCTTCCCTTCTTCCATGCTGACTTGTGGCCTTGCCGCTTCTAATCTGTTTTTGATGGCAAACATTGTGAGGGCAGAGAGAAGAGGACTCAGCAGAACTCAACAGCCCCAACCCGAATGCACCTAACAGTGTGTCTGTAGTTTCAGCTCTGTATGCAGGGGGAAGGAAGTAACGACAGAGGGAGGAAGGCATTTAATGGAAACAACAATGAAAAGACAGGGCTGTGTGTGTGTTAGGTACTGGTTAGATGGAAGCTGAGGTGGTTAGATCTGTGTTGACGGGGAGAAAGCTATGAAGAGTAAGTAAAGAGGTGAAAAGGAAGACTGAAAGGGTTGTGTTTCCTCTCTGTCTGTTATATGCTTTATATGATTTTTTCTTTTTTCCCCGGGGGCTTGGAAAATAGAAATCGTCTCATGCATGGCGGCATCTCATATGTGCATATATACGGTATTGTAACCTCTCTAATATGAATATTTTTTTAAGCCACAATAGAGAATACTTTTAAAATGGGATCTCTTAGAGTACATTTTGGATTGCAGTGTTTTTAAATGTGTTCTATTTATCTTTTAAAAATAAATTATTAGTGTCTTAGTTATGTTTCAGATTATGTATTTTAAACCCTTCAACTTTTCAGTAGATGGTACAGAGCTAGTGTTGCAATTTAAACTCCTGCTTTTTAAAGAGGAAGTTTTATGTTTTGAATTTTATTTTTTAACAAAATCCTCTTCATTTTGATGTTAATATTAAAGTGCTTGCATTTATAATGATAAAGCTTTATTATAAAGATAATTATTTAAGTCTATTCTTCACTAAGGGCCTAACATCTTAAATTATGTATTTTAAAAAAGGATTTTTAAATGTTTGATACTCCTCAATATATCGCATTCAGCTTGCATTTGGTATTTTTCTTCAAGTCCAAATTTTATTTTCATGGTATTCAGAAATATGAAGCACTTTTCTTTCTACTCTTGTACTCATCCTTATGTCATTTCCTAACCTCCTTTCCTTTCCCTTTGAAGTAAAAAACACCTGAAATTTTATGTCTTTACAAGTATGTTATTAGAAATACAAATTGTTAAAAAATTTATAATTTTAAATAATACACTTCAAAAGGAGGTAAAGAGATTTTGATGTCTGGAAAATTTATCTTGTCACAATAGTTATCTTACAGCAACTTTTTTTAATTTTTATAGTCCAGCAAACTAAAGCAGAAGTTGGAAGCTCATATGTAAGTAAACTGATATTTCTTTTCAAATATGAGAGGGGAAGGGTTTCAAAAACTTCTAAAGTTAGTATCCTTTTCTGACTTTGTTTGTAAGAGAAACCCCCTGATGCCAATTGAATGTTCACCACTGCCATCAAGAAGTGAAAAGAAAAACGCGCTAAAATGTTCAGCCTGCCTGTCAATGATCTCAAATCCTACATTTTTCCATCACTAATGTCATTTGAAGAGTTTACAAAGTAGACAGCTGTCACATGTGGAGATGTGGGATGTTTAACCAATAAAATATTTCCTCTGACTTTCTTAGGAAGCAAGGATGAGAGGGAAAAATTAACATTTTTAGCACCTGTCATGTGTCAGGCAGTTTACCCTCTCACAACAAGCCTATAATATGTGTCAGGTATTATGCCCATTTTACAGGTGAGGAGATTCAGGATCAGAAAGTGATTTGGCTACAGTCCACAAATGTCCTGTGGCAGAAATCAGTTTTCATTCTCAGGTCTGTTTGCTTCCAAAACTCCATGCTCTTTCCACTACTTAGGGAAAAACTAACTGAGGTCCAGGAAGAATTACAGAAGAAACAAGAACTCATTGAAGATCTTCAGCCAGATGTAAACCAGAATGGTAGGTACTTGTAAAAACCTGGATCAGACTACGACTAAGGACTTGCCTTTTTTAGTTGAAAGATGCAAGAACTGTGTATAAGTTTTCAGACACTCCATAAATGCGTGCATTGCAAATAAGAGCCATGATAATGTTTTAGTGATTTCAGTGATTAACAAGTGATCTGATTTTAAAGCGAAAAATCTAATAAAATGAACTGATTGATATATAGGAGTATCAAACATGGTAACATATAATAGAATTAATACTATAATGTAAATAAAATAATTTATAATAAAATTAAATTGAGCCTTAAACAGTATGTAGAAGGACTGCTTTATTTTCTTATGATGATTGTGCTTACATGCTGAAGTGTATTTGCTCATTGAAACACTTGATAGAAGGGAGAAAAGCTGGATAAAGCAGATTATAGATATTTTTAAGAAAAAATAATATGAAATGATTGAGGATATGTTGTAGTTCAAAGGTTTTAGATACGAATTCACTACAAAGAAGAAATAAACATTTCTCTTTTAAGTTCTCTTATCAGTCCTTTCGAAAAAAATCAGATAAGTATAATTTTTGTGTGAGGAGGGAATATTTTAAATTGGTCATGTTTCATTTCATTTTCAATAATAGTGCAAAAGATCAATGAACTTGAAGCTGCTCTTCAGAAGAAAGATGAAGATATGAAAGCAATGGAGGAAAGATATAAAATGTACTTGGAGAAAGCAAGGAATGTGAGTCACTTACCTTTCAGAGCTCAAGTCTTCTGACTCAGGTTCTCATAAGGCCCATTCCACCCATGAGGTTATCTCTCTTAAATATGCATCATGTCCCTTTTCTGACTCTACCCTGCCTTGCGGGTCAGTCCTCACAGTCTCTCCCTCTCACTCATCAGCATCATGTAAAACAAACACAGGGCTGTTCTTGGACAGTTTAAACGGGGACCACAGTGACCTCATTAGAGAAGATGACTATTAGAAAGTATGGAATCGTGGGGTGCCTGGGTGGCTCAGTAGGCTCGGCGTCCGACTCCGGCTCAGATCATGATCTCACAGTTTGTGGGTTTGAGCCCCATGTTGGGCTCTGTGCTGACAGCCCAGAGCCTGGAGCCTGCTTCGGATTCTGTGTCTCCCTCTCTCTCTGTCCCTCCCCCACTCACTCTCTGTCTCTCACAAATGAATAAATGTTACAGAAAGAATTTTAAGGGGCGCCTGGGTGGCTCAGTCCAACTTCGGCTCAGGTCATGATCTCATGGTTCGTGAGTTCAAGTCCCACATTGGGCTCTGTGCTGAGGGCTCAGAGCCCGGAGCCTGTTTCAGATTCTGTGTCTCCCTCTTTCTTCTGCCCCTCCCCCGCTCTCACTCTGTCTCTCTGTTTCTCAAAAATAAATAAACATTAAAAAAAAATTTAAGAAAGTATGGAATCTTTAGCTCTTAAATTTTTTTTTTAACTTTTATTTATTTTTGAGAGACAGAGCATGAATGTGGGAGGGGCAGAAAGAGAGGGAGACACAGAATCTGAAGCAGGCTCCAGGCTCCGAGCTGTCAGCACAAAAGCCCGACGTGGGGCTTGAACCCATGAACTATGAGATCATGACCTGAGCGGAAGTTGGATGTTTAACTGACTGAGCCACCCAGGTGCCCCTGGAATCTTTAGTTCTTAAAATGAATGTTTGCCTTTGTGAAAATTTTGCTCTTCAAACTTGTTTAAAATTGTTTTACCATTTAATTTAGATTAGATAGTTAAACACTCTTCTAATATTTATCAGACTGGTCTTTTTCCCTATTTCCAACTTAAATATCTGTCAGAACATTCTCATAAAATCGTTTATTTCCATGAATACATGTATTTTCTTAAAATATTCTCTCTTAGAGAATATCAATATACTCTTTTCTATTTGTTGAATAAACAAGAGGATTATATGATGAAGCTTTAAAATACTGCTAATGTATCTATTCTTTTTATGTTTGAATTTTGTATTTATTAAGTTGTCCATATTGCCTGCAACAACAGATACACCTCAAGATCTCAAGGCTTCACATGAAGTCCATTTTTCAATGGGGGAGGGGCTCTGCTCCGTGCAGTGTCCCCGAGCCCCCAGCTGACAGAGTCTTTGCCTTCTTGAACACAACGTTCCCAGCTGTACTTGACTTAGTCCAGCTGGTAGACAAGGGCAGCCAGCCTAGACCATACCGGAGATAGTAACGGGGTGGGCCTGGGAGCCACATGAACCACTTTCACCCTCACTGCCGTGGGCAGAATATAGGCACACAGCTGCACTCAGCTTCTAGGGAGTCTTGGTAAATATCCAGACAGTCTCTGCCGCAGTCTAGTGTCTCTCAACTATATAAGAGCTTTTAGTAGAAAATACAAAACATAGAAAGAATCCCTTTCTTCTTAACTGTGCATTTTTTTCAGTGCATACTACGTCCATGATTGCAGACATAGACACACACAATTTGTATGATCATAGCACATACAATTTATATTTTGAAAGTTTAAAATAATTCCCTCATGTTATATAAACATACTTTAATATTTATTAAGCAGCTATTATACTTAGCACAGGGAATAGAGAAGTAAACAAGACAGACGCTTCTAGAGCGGACTGTGCAAAGTAAAAGAATGGCTATATAATATTCAGTTGAATGCAGTATATAGTAATTTAGTCATCATCCTGTTGTTGGAAATAGTTTGTTTCCATTTCTTTTTCCTTCTTGCTTCTAGAAATAAGACTATAGGCAACTTATTTATATAGAAAGCTTGCCCCTTATTTTGGCTTATTATGTTAGCCTTGTTCCTAAGCTAATGGGTCAAATGGAAGTTTTAGGTCAAAGGATAAGAACATTTTAATAATGTGCTTGATACATATATCTAAATGATATTCTAAAAGGATCACAGTTAAGTAGACAAAACAGTGACCATGAATACCATATTCTTGTCATCATCAAGTACTATCATTTAAAAAAAAAAATTGCGGGGCGCCTGGGTGGCGCAGTCGGTTAAGCGTCCGACTTCAGCCAGGTCACGATCTCGCGGTCTGGGAGTTCGAGCCCCGCGTCAGGCTCTGGGCTGATGGCTCAGAGCCTGGAGCCTGTTTCCGATTCTGTGTCTCCCTCTCTCTCTGCCCCTCCCCTGTTCATGCTCTGTCTGTCTCTGTCCCAAAAATAAATAAACGTTGAAAAAAAAAATTAAAAAAAAAAAAAAATTGCTGGAGCGCCTGGGTGGCTCAGTTGGTTGACTTTGGCTCAGGTCATGATCTTGCAGTTCGTGAGTTCAAGCCCTGCGTCGGGCTCTGTGCTGACAGCTCAGAGCCTGGAGCCTGCTTCAGATTCTTTCTCTCTCTCTCTCTCTCTCTCTCTCTCTCTCTCTCTCTCTCTGCACCCCTCCCCCACTCTCTCTCTCTCAAATAATAAACATTTAAAAAATAAAAATAAAAAGCAATTGCTTGTATGATAAACATGATTTCATTTCTTACCTTTACATTATTTGGAGGGAGAGGTTAATTATAGTAACATAATGTCCATGATAGAAAATTCAGAAAATATAGAAAAGTCACAATCATACTTTTTATTACTTAGAGGTAAAAAATTATGATGTGTTCTCTGTAATTAAATTATGATTTAAACTCTGCTTTTACAATGTGAACTCCTCGAAGGCAGGCACCAAGCCTCCTGTATCCCACGGGCCATAGTCAGTGCCTGCCATATTCAGCACTCAGCAAATTGTTTTTAATGAACCACAGTCATTTTTAGGCATATTACCTTTCAGTCTTTTTCCTTTACCTCAGTGAATATAGGTGAAATCTTTAAATCAGTTTAAATCTTTTTGAATAGATTTGTAATTACATCATACAGCTGACCTTATTATTGGAAATTTGTTTTTGCTTCTAATTTACACCTGATATTTTCAAGTTAATTTCCTGTTATACTGCTGGCTCCATAGTTTAGTTGAGTCTATGAACAGCATTCTGAGCAAAATCTCTTTTCACCTAACTTTTAGTGACTTCCATAAATGTGATTGAGCCACTCTAGGGATTGCAGGCAAAGTCATCAGTTTCTAATAAGTTGATCTTACATATTGAGTTACATTTCACTAGATAATGGTAGTGAAAAAGGTTGTTGCTAAGAATTTTTTTGTTACTTTGTACAATGAGTTCCTATATAATTAGCAAATTCTTTTAATTTTTTAAAAAATGTATCTGATAAATATGGAAAGTATTGTTTCAAGACCTCAGTGCTCAAAGTTTAATAAGACTAGATTACTATCCCTGAGTACTGAGCCTTGGAGAAAGGAAATTTTATTTTGAGATAGGGATCTTCCCATTTTGGTACTGAATTATAATATCATTCTACCTCTATAATGTTATTTTTATTACTCAAATTTAATTGTAAAATAAGTCATAGTTCACACCTGGATCACTTTCTGGATAATTTTCCACTTTTTACATAGAGGTTTATAGGTTCTTATATTTCAGTACTTGATAATGTAAAGTAAATGTAAAATATTTTTTTTTCTTTCAACAGGTAATAAAAACTTTAGATCCCAAACTAAATCCAGCATCAGCTGAAATAATGCTACTTAGAAAGCAGTTGGCAGAGAAAGAGAGAAGAATTGAGATTCTGGAGGTAAAATTTTCATATTCACACGTCTCCTTTTAATTATTCTGTATAATCCTGATAATTAATTGCTGTCCAGCATCTGCCATTAATGATCAAGTTTCACAAGAAGTTGAAATCAGGAGCTGGCAATGCCATGTTTTAGCGCTCAGTATGTTTACCACAAAGCATCTCACCAGCCAATAGGAGTTTATCTACTCTGCTACATTGTCTCTGTCACTCCCACAACAGCCAGTCCTGTGGATAGCCCTTAGTGGCTAATAGAGTTCTGTTATAATGTTAGCTCCTTTTAAAATTATGTGGGTTAGAGTTCATTCAGAAAATATAAGTAAATAAAGGAAAAAAAGGAACCAAACTCACCTTTAAAAAAAGGTACTCTACTCTGTTAACTAGATTTTCCTTCTCTTTTCTTCTCCCTATTCCTCACTGGAACCTAAGTAAACTCATTAGTTGCAATTCCTGGGGGAAGAAAGTGCTCATAGAATCCAGTAAGTCCTTGCACTGAAGTGGCAGTCTTGGTTGTTAACCATGCATAGTTATGTTAGCGATGACATCTTCTCATTAATTAGCCGGGTCTTTAGAACTTATTTTTTGTGCTGATGATCATATCATTTTTACTGGCTGGGTTAATAAGTATGTCAGTCTGGAACTGTATATTCATAGATTTTATAATTGGGCATGTTCTAGTTTCCTTTGCAAAGTGTTTTACAAAATTATTTAATACTGTGGTGAGATGCGATACTATTCTTGAAGTCATTATGTGCTTCCTTATAATAATGTATGTGTAATTGCAGAGCCATGATGAGATCTGTATACTAGCCTTGAAATTTGAGTAATTGATAGTAGGTTTCTTTTTAAATCAACTAGGAATGTTGTATTTCAGAGAAACATGTTGTATTCATTTACCATTTTCTTCATATTATTTCTGAGCCAGGGTGTATGGACTGTAGTGGAACTATTTTGTTTAAAGACTTAACATTCAGAGTGCACACCAGCCTATGTGCCCTTGCTAAGTGCTTGTCCAGGCCTTGTCAGGTGCTGTAAAAAAAAAAGCACTGGATGGGGGCATCTCTCTGCGGAAATACTGTCCATTCTTCAGCATCCAACTCACATGTGTCTTCCTGGATTCCTTAGGCAATGTTGGTTATTTCTCCATAGCGATTCCATGTATTTTGAACTCATTAATTCAACCCACAATAGCATTGTTCTTCTTCCTGGTGTGTGTCAGAGTTTGAGGGCAGAGCGTGTATCTTATATACCTGTACTCCCAGCATTAAATATCACATAAATGAGAGGCCAGGTTTGCTGCTTTATTGGTAAGTTCTCCTAAAGTTATCACCTCTCCTCTCTGGTCCTAGGTCTCCTCATCTGTAAAATAATGAGACTTGGACTGAAAACCCCCTGAGCTCTGAGTTGCCCTGATTATCCACCTCCCAGTGAACACCAGTGAGCGTGTGCAGCATCGTCAATGCTTCAAGTGCAGCTCCCTACCAAGTAGAAAGACAGAATGGCACCTCTGATGATAGGGCTTTGAGGAGAAACTTGGGTTACATCACAGCATATGGGCTTTGGTTCATGTGTACTTCTCTGCGCATACACTGCAAGAAGCAAAAATGAGAGAAATATAAATAGCAGATGTTATTCTATCTGCCATCGTTCTTGGGGAGTCATTGTCTGGAGTAGGTGTGAGCCAGCAAAAGGCCATCTTGCCCCCGTCATTTCTTGCGTCCTTTTGTACTGTGAGCATCTCGCTGTAGGAACACTCACGTGTTTATGTAGAATATTTACGTGAGCCAACTGTATCTGGTGCTCAATGAAATTACTAAATTTGCTATATTTGAGCAATTAAGAAATGGATGTCAGCCTCTAGGTCAGCACGCAAGCATGGCCACAGGCAATCTTGTATACAGATGACCGAGGAACGAGCGAGAAAAATTCGGGTTAAGCGTTACAGGAGATCTTTAGGATTTTCTGGCATATGTTTTACTACATCCTCTTTCTCCTTAGTTTTGAGTCCTCCACAGATGCTGGTCTGTTTTGTCATCTAACCCAGTTATTACTTTCGTCTCTCTTTATAGGTGACAGTAGCATGAGAATCATGAGTTTCTTATTTGTTGTTGCTTAAGTGCTGTCCTACCAGTAAAATTTTTGAAGTTAAAGGTTTACTAGTCACAGTCTTACTCTTTCTTAAAGGTATTGTGCATGCTTTCTCCATGATCCAGTTCAGATTTTGACTGCTTTATGTGCTACACGATGCATTTTTCAAATTCTCTCAATGAGCAGAGTGAAAAAATGATTCCAGTTTTGGTAGTTTGGGTTTATTTCTGGGATTTTGATAGTCCTTGTGTCTTTTTCCAGAGTGAATGTAAAGTAGCAAAATTCCGTGATTATGAAGAAAAACTCATTGTTTCTGCCTGGTACAATAAGGTGAGTTGACATTCAGCCAGTGATTGGATGTTGTGTTTATCAAATGTTTTGACCAGGAGCCACAGAAAGAAATATATTTTCTACCACAGATCATTACACATGCATGCTTACGTATATAAGTAAACAGAAGTTACCCTGTGTGCATGTACCCAGGTATCTCCTGACATAGTCTCTTCTTTTTAATGTGAGTTATAATCCAAATTATATACTTTAGTGTTTTTAGGTGATGCACATGAAGCACACACACAACAGCTCACAAATATTTTAAAAATTGCCTTATTTGAGCTAAAATATTTAATTTGTGCTTCATGCAGTGTTTCTGTAGAAATGTGAATATCTGTGAAATGAAAATCCCGTGTTTCTAGTACTCAGCATTTGTTTTAACATCCCATAAATCCTCTAAGTGTGTCTTTCACTGTGTTTTGTTTTCTGTTTTGTTTTGTTTTTAATAAGAAATACTCTTCGGTAGTTGTATGTCTGTGTTAAACAGGAGAAAATAGTGTAAAATTATTTGAAGTGCATTTTATTTTGTCATCCTTACTGTCAGTGGGATATTTGCAAGCATTTCATGATGTATATGGTTCATTTGGATTATTTTAATCGAAATAGAAAATAACACAGCCATTATCTACCTTAGCTGTTGCTTATTTAGTAAGAGAGAGTGTGGACTCCCATGTCTGAACCCTGTGCTTCCCCACAAAGAGCGGGCTGTCCTTCCTCAAACATGCCTGTTCTTGTATGTCACCATATTTTTTGTCTGTGCTCTTGCCTTCCCTTCTCTGTTTGATAAAATCTGGCCTAATTTAGCAAGGCCTTAAAGGAAATCATATGTGAAGTGTTCCCAGAACTTTCCCTCATAAGTCAGTCATCCAAGTTAAGATTGGTAACTGTGTATTATTTTCTTTGTTCATCCACAGCCTCTCAACACATAAATCATTAAAGATATTAGATCCAAATAATGCATTACGTGTTCATTTTCTACCCATGTCTTTTGAGCATTTACTATATTCTGTGTGTTATACTAATTCCTAGTGATTCTAAGCTTAGTAAAATTCTATTACTTGGGCTAGTGAGAAAAAGTAATTACTTTTCTTACTAAAAAACCCAATATCCACAACTACAGTAACTTGTCATGTATCAATGTGTAGATAGACAGTAGTGAACTATGGTGGTTCTCACACTTTGGCATGCATTAGAAGACTTGTTAAAACACAAGTTATTGGATGCAGCTGCAGAACTTCTGATTTAGTAGGTCTGGGTAGAATCTGCAAGATAGAATTTCCGTTTTTTTTCCAGTGGTGCAAATATTAATCTGAGGACCTCATTTGAGAATCTTTGACCTAAGCTTTTCTCTTGTGTTATGTCTGCTCATAATGGGTGGAGTGAAGGCCCAAACAGAAAAAATTACTTTGGAAACTTTTTTTATTGTTATAATTAAGCTTAATGTTAGAATACTAATTTAAGCTACTGTTTTTGATGATTTCAAGTTTAGTGGGTTAAAATAGAGAAACTGAGTTTTATGCCTTTGTTTCCTCCTCCTTGCTGGTGTTACAATGTACAGATGAATTAGCTTCTGAACCCTTAGCTTTTCTACGAAAGGAGAAAAACATCAATCAGCTTTATAGTAGTGTTTTGAGGAAATGACTTTATATTTGTCAAGTGAAAAGCACTTGACAAACTAAGTAGTCTTGTTCCTTATCTGCTTATGTTTGTGCAGAGTCTAGCGTTCCAGAAGCTGGGGATGGAATCTAGGCTCGTGAGCGGCAGTGGTGCCTGCAAAGACCCTGGTGCGTGCGCTCCCGCACGGTCTTTCCTGGCACAGCAACGGCACATCACCAACACCAGAAGAAATCTCTCTGTTAAAGTTCCTGCTACAACACCTGATTAAACTACAGAAGAAAACATAAACAGAAGTGCCCTTAAAATATTTTGTATCCTTCAATTAACTGCCAGATTGAAAAAGAAATTTATGACGCTGGATATCAGCTATTTTAAAATTAACATGCACAAAATTAATTTTGTCAGCTGACTTGGAAAGCAAAATATAGAGTCAGCTATTTCTCTAAGGGAGTATATTTGAGTAATTGGAAGATGTAATTAGGCACACATCTCAAACTTTTGTCTTCTGAGAGTGTTATAATTTCAAATTGACTGTATATTTTAATGTTTTCACTTGTACCAGTAACTTGGTTAATTTGCAATGTATAATCAGTAATAAGTAATTTACAAATATATCTATATTTGCTTTATTGCGTGGGTCCATATAAAAATAGTCTTGAGTAGGTGCATGGAGAACTATACAAGAGTTACGCTTTTTGACTCGATGCATAGAAGGTTTTACCTCTATCCTCAAATCTGTCATCAGATGGGTCTCTTTTATCATGTGATGGATGTTATAACATTTGGAAGATTGACTATTGAAATGACTTTTTGCCATAGTAAAAGTGACTAACTGGAGATTTTGCAGATTCAGGAAACTTCCTAGTTCTCATATGTACCTACTATAAACAAGGGCTTCTGTACAGCATGGTTGAAAAGTTAAGGATATGGAAATAAGCTGACTTTTATAAGTGATTTTTCTGATGGGAAGTAAGGCAAAAAATATAATTTGTGTGAAACGTCCACACATGTTTTAATATAATGATCATAATTATTGCTTTTAAGCATAAAATTATCAGGGCATTTACTAAAAAACATGCCATAATAGTTTTTCCTCTTCACTGCAAAGAGATGGTGTGGTGATGGAATAATCCGGAATCAGTTTGATTTTGTTTACGAATTAAAGAAGCTGTCTGGGACTGAGTTTATGGTATTCAGTTCACTTCTATCCAAAGCTTTTCTCTTCAGAGGTGTTATTTTCTAATTTTTTTGGCCTTTTTTAGGAGTCACACTTTAGATCTTGAGCTAAATCTGTGCTGTCCAGCATTCTAGCCACAAGCCACATGTGGCGATTTAAATAAGATTAATTAAAATTAAAAATTCAGTTCCTTGGTCACATCAGCCACATTTCAAATGCTCAACCGCCACATGTGGCTGATGGCTCCGGTATTGGAGAGTGCAGGTATAAAAAATTTCCATCATTGCGAAAAGTTCTTTCGTACAGTGCTGTGATCAACCTTTCTTTAGTAACTTGGAAATACTCTTTGATATTAGACCACAAACATAAAAAGAAGAAAACTGTTAGGATTCTTTCAGATATGAAAAGGAATTGAATTGTGGCACAATTAGCATTTTGCATTCCGTATAGTTGAATACCTTAGGTTGTGACGTTTGTAGTTCATCCTTCCAGTGCCGTTCGACAACTGCATACCTGTCAGCATATGTCTGAACTAGGGGTCAGCAAACGTTCTGTAAGAGACAGATGGTAAACAGGTTAGTAAACACTGTCAGCTTTTTGAGCCATATGATGTCTCCCAAGTACTGGACTCTGCTGTAAGTGTGAAAACAGCAACCATAAACAAATATGTAAACAAAATGGGTGTTGTTGCATTTCAATAAAATTTTATTTAGAAAAAACTGGCAGGAGGACGGATGTGGCCTGCAGGCTGTAGACCCCTGGTCCAGATTTTATTTTCAGCCTTTCTTTGCATATGTGAGTATTGTTCCACTTACAGTATTATTCATTTAGATACTTGCTTTTTAGATTATCTACCAGTACATTTTTCATAATCACTGAAAATACAAGAATTTCATACTGCATTTAGGTCTCTTAAGATTAGGGAGCATCTGTCAGGATATATTGTTTCATCAGGGTTACTTCTGTTGACTACCTCTTAGATTTTGATGGTTTTTATTGGTGCAATTATATTGTTGGTTTGCTTTTTTGTATATTCCTATAGTCTGCCTGCCTGCAACTTTTAGTGAAATGAAATAGCCCTTTGAAAATATTTTAGCATGCTGATTAAAATTTTCCAAATATTATGGCATTTTGGTATATTTTGGTCAGTGTAGGACATCTGCTCCTTTGGTGTTTACTATTTGCTCATAATTGAGATTTTACAAGTTCTTCAAGCTCCCTTTTATTGGAATTTGTTGTAAACATCAATTTCAATAATTTAGTATTTTCACAGTCAATTGCTCATAAATTTTCAATTATTATATTTGGAATTTCTAAATAACTTGTGCAATTTCTGAATAAGGACAGAAAGCTAGATTCTTTTTTAATAGAGAAAAAGCAAATTTTGTGATTTATCACTTTTCTAGTTGATAAGTAGAATTTAAAATGCTTGATACAGGAGTATTTATACAAGACTAATGTAAAGTTCTGTATTATTGTGATTAACCTTATGGAAATTCAGGAACTGATCAGAAGTGAGATTATTTTCCACATCTGGTTAATGTAGTGAGATTGACACCCTGTGGGTGGTACAGCATTATAAATATTCATCACGAACTATGATTTATGTCTGTGTTTTGAGGCTTGAGTGCATATGCCAGGGAAGAGAAAGCCAGCATCTGTTTGTATGGTAAGGTCTTGAATGCCCCACTGATAAAAGTACAACCCCAGACCAGTTTGGAAGCGATCTTTAATTTTGAGCATTTGCTCTAAGGTTAATATTCCTTTCTCTTTTTAAGTTAAAAGTGTGTATACATATGACAATGATCACTTAATGTATTGAGAAATATTTGAAGTTTATTCTGTTGTTTTTTTTTTTTTTTTCAGTGAATCAGGCTGTTGAACTCTTATGATTTAGTATAGATTAAGAATTAATGTCTTATCTAGAAACACTAAACTGAGTATCCCTCATTAAGATGTCATCATCTGATAACTGGATTGCTAATTTGAATGTTAGATAGTGCTTCTACATCTACACCTGTTTCTGTATAGTGGCACATTGGGCTCTATGGGGTGGCTTTTAGGCCACAGTACTATGTTAGGTTCTCTATAGGCATATTTAATGAGAAACATTCCTATGTAAAAATGTGTATGTATGGCTGTATGCGTACATTCCTGTTGTGAACCTGTACATTACAAAGAAGTAGCTTGGGAATTTGTAAAGCACAGCCATTAAAGAAAATAGTGTGCAGTTATTAAACTTGATGTAGCTTAAATGTTACGTTTAGTTTATAAAGGTTCTTTCTATTTTCTATGGCAAAAGACTTTGACACTTGAAAAATAGAAGCAATACTTGATTTATTTTTGTAAGTATTTAGGATATTATTTTAAATAAATGATTGTCCAATAACAATATAATAAGTTGTGAAACGTTTTAAATAAACTTTCTGATTTCTGTGTCTGACGGTGATGGTGGATTTTTAGTGGCTACAAGTGCACATTTATTTGCTGCTTTAAATAAAGGACTTAGGGGCGCCTGGGTGGCGCAGTCGGTTAAGCGTCCGACTTCAGCCAGGTCATGATCTCACGGTCCGTGAGTTCGAGCCCCGCATCAGGCTCTGGGCTTGATGGCTCAGAGCCTGGAGCCTGTTTCCGATTCTGTGTCTCCCTCTCTCTCTGCCCCTCCCCCATTCATGCTCTGTCTCTCTCTGTCCCCAAAAAAATAAATAAACGTTGAAAAAAAAATTAAAAAATAAATAAATAAATAAATAAAGGACTTAAAGTGTTTAGTTTGTTAAAGAAAAAATAATTGCATTAATTCTTCTAATTTAGTTTTTCATTTGAATTTTTTGGTGAAGTGATTTTTTTGGTGTTCCCTTTTTATGTCTCCAGTTTCACATGGGGATCTAGACATTTTCCATTATCATGAAATCCAGAATATTTCTGGGTCTTCTTTGGCAGAGATTGCTGCTTATCCCTCAATATCCATTATCCCCTTCTTCCTCTGGTAACAGAATGCCATATTTTAGCTTGTGATTTCACTATCCAGTGACGGGGGTGGGGAGGATAACTACTTTCCAGACCCCATTGTAACTACATGGGGCCATTTAAGGTCTGGCCAAAGAGATGTGACCCTCAGGGACGATGGAATAACAAAGACTAAGGAGCTCGGATCCCTAATACCACCATTTAGCCATATCAGCTGCCACTTCCCACCTGAATTTCTCTTAAGCAATGTTTCTTAAAGCCACTTTGTTTTGTTTTGTTTTGTTTTTTGTTTTGTTTTGTTTTGTTTTGTTTTGTTGTTTCCAGCATCCTTATTTCCCATTCTATACATGTGTGTCACAATGAATTGTGAAATTTTTAGGAAAGTACAACATGTCTTGGAAAGGCTTCATTCTGTTGCTGCTAATAGATGCCCAGTAAATATTTGTTTTATCACATGAATGAAGTTCATGTGCCAGACATGCAAAAATGAGAATAAAGTCCCATCTCACTTTAGACAGATCCCCATGTTGCCAAAAGAACATGATTCCATAAATTGGACTTTCAGAATTTTACAATAAATGCTGGCCCAACATCATCCCATAATTTTGTGATTAGTTCCCTACCAGAGATTCTTGACCTATACTGACCAATGTGGTGGTTCTAGCCACAATATGTATTTAAACAAATTTTAATTAAGTTGTATTTCCTCATTAGCCTAGGGGCTACAGTACTGGTCAGTGCAAGTAAAGAAATTTCTGTCATCACAAAAAATTGAATTGGACAGCTTGTTCTAGATGCCTGGGTTGAATGGACACATTCTACATCTCTGAAGTTTCCAGTGATATGTGACCACAGAAATGTCGTGAAGTGAAACCTTCAGACACCTTCCTGCACACAGTGACACGCTCAGGGATAGAGCTGAAGTTGGATTGTTAAGCCGGCCGTGATTTTGATGGTGAAACACTTGGTTCCCTTGCCCAGCTGGGCCACAGCAACTTGCTCTCAGTAAGTAGTAACACTTGCAGTTCAGACCCGCTGCTTGCTTTACCTCAAATATTTCCCTCTTTCATAAATCCTTCCAAGTTTTCTCGAATAAGATGACAGATCTGTCTTTCTGAAGTTTT